ATATATAATACATAAACAACATATTTTTCTTAAATATATACATCATGTGTGTATTTATATATACATAAATATATACAGTACACACATATTATGTACACAAAAACATTTATTTTGGATGCGATTAATCGTGCTAGCCCAGCACTAAATGTTTTTTTTCTTTAATACATTGTAATATACAGTAATATAGTTGGATATAATGCAACATTTACTTTTAGTCTATGCCCCTCAATTATGCCCAGCAGCTTATCCAACGTATGACAGAAAGTCACTTAAAAGTACTGATACATTTTTAATCATTAAATTTCCAAGACATTTATCCATGAAACTTGGGTAAAAAAAAAAAAAGGTATAATAGAACCAGCATAAAAATAAATTTCTAGCCTTTTTCTCCCCAATTCACTATAATAATAAAAACACATTTATAAAAATTAAAATATGAATGATTTTGAGATTTATTTTTTCAAGTCTTGAAAAATCACAATTATAATCAAATCACAATTATAACATTTTCTACACACAGGATTTCTCCATGGCCATGGGAGACCTGTTTAGAGCATTCCCAACATCACATTTTTGAAGTATGAGGTGTTTTACCGGTCGTAGTCCTGCGGGTGCAGGCGGTAACCCTCCTGCATCATATTATCCCAGTGCAGCAGCTCCTCGTAGGCCTGGTGCTCGTCCCAGGCAGGTGGTGGTCGAGGAGGAAGAGGTCCTTCCCTCCGCCTCGGAAAATTCCCCATTTGAGCCATTTTCTTCAAACAATCACCTGTAACTTACGCAAGTCGCACAACGTTCATAGTAAATAAAGGATTCAAACAGAAAACCCCATCAAAACACTCATGGAGTTGTCAAGTTAACAAGCCAGACAATTAATGGTTCCCGGCGGACTTCTTATTAAAACTGAAACTTCATAAAACTGCAAAAATGAGACACATTTTCAAAATAAAGCATCTATCGCGTCTGTACAAAACATCTGATATCGGCGAAGCACGCCAGCACGCGCACGGCGAGTCATTTGAATAACCGATTTACGTTGTACGAAAACAACGATTGATATTTACCAGCACAGCTGCTAGTACAACCAAAATGTGCAGACGTCTTTAAGATCGCGTAACGTAGATTTTAATATCGCGTATCCATGTATTTCTTTACATAGCTAAACAAATTTGTTGTACTCACCATTCACTCAGTTTACTCAATGGATGGAAGCGTAAAAAGCTCCACTTCCGGGCCATGCACTGACCCCGCAGCGCATGCGCACTCAAATTTCGCCTCGCCTAGCGGAGACATGAGGAACTCCATTTATTGGGGACAATTTTTTTTACACCTTGTAAAAAGAATGCACACACACCCTGCAGGAACGATTCATTGGTCATTCCTATTATGCAGTGCATTTTCATGTGTATTATTTTTTATGTTTTGTTTGGGGTAGGTTGTCACATTATTATTCAAATTTGTCAATTACAATTACTATACAATGGTCTGGTAGGACGATGTTCCATTTGTGCAGTTTTGAACTGTTTTGTGCATAAAATTTTGTATTAAACTATTTAATGACAGCTTACCTCGTACATTACAACATGTTGAATAGGTCTTGGATAACAAATTAAAATTATTAACCAGTGATCATTAACAGTACTGCCTGGGAATCATTATTCTGGCTTTTGGAATATTCTGTTTGTTTATAAGTTAGAGCTTGGTTTATTGAGCTTCATGCATCAAATTAGGTAGCAACAGAAATGAAATTCAAATACAATAAGCTTGCTTTGTTTTATTATAATGCTTTTCAATGTAAAATAACAACATTAAAAGCCTCCAGAAAATTGGAGGGATAAATAAAATATACAATAATATGAACATTATTATTCACACGAGCATTTTTGCACAGTAACATATATGCAAGACAAACATAAAGGAAAACTGTCTTATCCCTTCTGTGAGGGGAAATAACGTTCACCACATAAAATATGAGTTTACCTCACAGTTAATATATTGTTGATGATCATGCTGTACAAAATCTGATTAGGTGAACATTTCTTTTCAGTAAAACAAAGATTAAAATGTTTTTTGTGCCTCTTGTTACTGTCATGTCGGTTTTCATGCCCAGGGCCGTCATCATGGGGAACAACTAGGGACACATAAAAACACTGTCCCAGACCTAAAGCTTCAACACTGGCTGAATGAATGCTTCAATTACTATCACCAGTGTATTTTCTGTATTGAGGGCCCAAGACAGCAAATAGCTAATTGCATGAAAGTTTCCAGCCAAATCCTTATTATTAGTGTTTTACAGGGAGTAATAGGAATGTTCATCTCATGCTTTATTTATCTTTGTGCAAATTTGCTAAAATAAATTATGTCCCCACTGGATGCAACAAATGCCTCGTTTGTAATGGGTTTTATGTTTTTGTCTCGTCACTCCGGCCAGGACAGGGCATCAACAGTATGTGAGGGGCATAACATTTCCGTCTCACGCTTGAGGTATTCGGCCAATCACAACGCACTGGATAGCTGGTCAATCAGAGCACACCTCGCTTTTTCAGACCGATGAGCTTTGTAAAAATCGATGCGTTTCAGAAAGGCGGGGCATAGAGGAGAAACAATAATGTACAGTATGTGGAAAATAATGTGTTTTTTAACTTTAAACCGCATAAACACATTTCATTACACCAAATACACAAAATAATGTTCTTTTTAGCAGCATCATATGACCCCTTTAACATAGCGATTGCAGTACATGCTGTAATAAAGGGGCCTAGTGAGATCCTCTGGGGTAGAGCTGACTGACACTGAGTAGGCCTCCTGTTGTTATTGATGCACACTCAGATTCAGACTCTACTGACAGGATTCTTCTCAGAGCTGGGGAAGGAATGGATCTCCCAGCAGCGAAAAGTGCTTTCCTTAAAGTCTGTTGGACGTTTGGTAATGAAGTAAATCTTTTGGAGGACGGAACGACGAAGAAGAATGTAGACCCATGGGTCCAGTATCTGGTTCCAGGATGCTATCCGCACCCCCATTATCATTAGGGTCTTAAAGGTGGCAAGGTCATCTCCAATAGAGCCCTCGTATGACTGTTTCACTGTAATTAGGCCAACAATCTAAAGTTAAGAGACAAAGACAAAACACCATAAGGATTATGACAAAATATCCATGCAGGTCTAAGAAATCCATAGTCCAGTCTATTAAAATATGAGGTGCTTTCCAGTTCATGTACTTATACTATTCTATGTCATTTTGTTATGAACTATGCCCAAAAAAGCTGAGATTTATACCTTGAGTTTGATACCTTAAGTTATGTGCTTCATTTAAATAATAATAACAATAAAATTTAGACACTGAAAGCTCTTTCTGCCTCAGATAAATTTTTTTTAAAGTAATCATAAGATATATTTAAAAATAAGAAATACAAAATATAAAATATAAATAAATATAAAAATCACAATGTGACATGCAAAGTTGCAGCTTATATATAAAATTGCAATTAGCTTTGCAATTTTGTTTACTCTGTGGCATAAATGGGCTTTAATTCATTTGTTTAAACTTTTCATTTATATGGAGAACCGCATTGTCCACAGATTCAAACCTTCCTCAAAAGTGCTCAAGTTGTTGAAAATGCACAAAATAGGTCACAGAAACCATTACTTTGTGGCTATTTGAGATGCTTTCTTTTCTTCTTGTTTTAAGCACGTTTGCATGGCAGAAAAAGCACTTGGTTGCCAAAGTCTTGTCACGTTTTTTCAAGAATATCAGAGCAACCGTTTCAAAGACTGTCAACATAAAAACGCAAACAATCTGAGTGAAAATGTGGTCAATTAGCCTACTCTATTAATTAACCAAACTTGTCTACTAAAGATCTACTTCCTATATAGTCTTTACTTACGTTTATTAGTTTACATACATGTAATTTCCTATATGCATATGTGCCATATTTAAATTAACTGTACCTACAATTTATATTTTTGTGCTTGGTTTTCACTGATTTTAACTACAGTGTGTTATTTAGTGAGCTTTCTTTACTTATTTCTTTCAAGACAGTTTTCCTGTTTGTAGTGGTTTTATGGCTTTAATATTATGCCAGCATATATAGGGCCCATTTTCATGATGGGGCTACTAAACCCACTGCTCATACTCACCAGAAGAGGGCTCCAGCAGATACAAGATGTGACCATTATGCCTACAAGTTGCACCACCATCTCAATATCATGGGATCTAGCTGATCGACGGTTACAGGGTTTCTTTCGTATCCTCGCTAACACTAGCGTCAGTCCACTTATGGTGTTACACACCAAAGCAACAGCAAGGGATGTCAACCCCAGTCCTGAGAACAACATAACAAAGGCCACGTCTGCCTTCTCTGTGTCCTCCAGCACTTTAATGAAACACCAGGTTCCAGGATACTGGTAGGTATATGAACCCAGCTGAAAGCAGGGCAGAAGAGCAACACAAAGAGCTGCTAACCAGATAACAGAAAGTGAGAGCTTAGTCCTTGTGGTTGTAACCAGCGAAGCATGGAGCAGTGGCTTTGTCACCCCTAAACACCTCTCAGCTGCCATGGCGCAACCAAGAAAGAGCGGACACAGTCCGAAAAACACCATGCTGCCTCCTAGAAACTGGCATAATGGGTCCGCCCGGTTGTATTCTTCAGAGGGTACACCTCCAGAAAGATACAGCCTCATAACTATTGAACCAGGTATGACATGCCCCACAAAGTCCGTGGCCACCAAAGAGCTGGCGAACAGGAGAAATGCCTTGGATCGTCGACGTAGGCGGGCGTATGCGTTTGCCAGGATGAGTAAAGCCACAATGTTAGACAGGATCCCCAGGGTCATCGAGAGCATCGCAGCTATAGGGCCGCTCAGGATCGCTCTCTCCGAGGTGACATTCTCGGAGTCGGCAAGTGATGGAGAGGTCGGCTGTCCTTCCCATTGACTGTCATTGGAAAATGGGCTGAGTGGCGCAGCGCCTGATGAATTGCAGTGATGCATGGCTAACTCAGAGGAGTGTTTGGGTGCGGGGCTCCCATCTTCATGTAGAGCTGCTGATAGGATGGAGAAATATGTCTTAGAACAGATCATTTGAAAGACACCAAAAAATCTAAATGAGTAGTGTAGCCATTAAGTGCATTTTAAAGGTACAACTTTTTTTGCTTACTGAATACTTTTAATCATTTTAAAAAATACAGAGCATAAATATATAAAAAAATGTATTCGTGTGATTGTCACATCACATAGCATGTTTTATGTAGCGAGTGCCGTCTATTAATAATCTTTGAAATAAACACTGTAATTTTGCATTTTTGAACCAATTTCTTATGTAATATGTTTTGTCACGCCAATCAATTAATGTGACAAGAAAGAGATAACTTTCAGTAAATGTAGTACGTCATTTTTTTTTACAGACCATCCACATACAGTGAACAGTAGCTATATGTGCAGTACTATAATGCAGCAAAAATGTTTGTACGTTTTTACAGAAAAATACTCAAATGTATCCTACATTCTTGTGTTACATTTTCTGTTTTATGGACAGGAAAAAAATTTTCCGAAGATTATTGGAGTACATTTGCCAAGAAAATACTAGGTCTTTCTGCTTCAAAAATTCACATTTAATTCAATGTTTTACTTGCCGCTTCTTTGTAAACATTTGTGAAATTTACCAGCAATTTCTGAGTTAAAATTTTTTCGACACTATTTTTTTTAAGTGTACAGTGATGTTTCTTTTCTATACCACCTACATTATTATGGTGGTGTTCAGTATTTTAAGGCAAAAATAAAGCTGATTTTGAGTTTAATATATTAACATTATATCACTTAATGAAATACATTGTTATAAGTTGTAATATCTTGCAATCCTGTAATGAATTTTTTCTTTTTTGGCTGGCCAATTTTACTATAAATTTATTGGGATATTTTTCTTTCATTGACCATTTTAAAAAGCACCCCCACCCAAACTTCCTGCACAAACAGGAAATGTATCATTATCCCAAGTAATTTCACGCAGTCTTTAAAACATACAAACATGTGCAACTATTTTAGATTTTGTCTCCGAATGCTAAATTACATTTATATATCTGTTTGCCATACAATCATATTGCCATCTAATTTTTTTTTTTTTTTTTAAATAGGGAAGATCTATTCAGGGTCACGCCAAACATTACAGCTGAGAGAAACATGTTCTGACAGAGGCTACTGACAGCCACAAATCGTTTAAAAACATTCCTCAAGGTTCATTCGCCTGCATTTGACCCCTCAATGTTATGCTTTCGTCCTGGAGTCAACATCTCCCCTGAAGAATGCTACAGTGAGTCATTTTATAGTGAGGCATATTTAGTTGGTTGCATGGATGCATTTAAAAGCGCTGATCCAGAAAAGATATAAATTGCATGTTACAACAAAGTTGGGTTCCTGTTGACACAGCATCTACTTAAAACTTAGTAAAGACCAATACAACTGCTTACCGTCATTAACGAATATCCATTGGGATTAAAGCATCATGTAAAAAAAAACAAGATTGCCTGCGTGCGTAAAAGTTAAAAAACTTTATGTAATATTTTGTAAACAAAAGAAAACAAGTGAGTCATTTTATAGTGAGGCATATTTAGTTGGTTGCATGGATGCATTTAAAAGCGCTGATCCAGAAAAGATATAAATTGCATGTTACAACAAAGTTGGGTTCCTGTGACACAGCATCTACTTACAACTTAGTAAAGACCAATACAACTGCTTACCGTCATTAACGAATATCCATTGGGATTAAAGCATCATGTAAAAAAAAACAAGATTGCCTGCGTGCGTAAAAGTTAAAAAACATTTTTATGTAATATTTTGTAAACAAAAGAAAACAAATCATTTCATAAACAAAAGTAAATGTTAATTGTAACTATAGAAAAATGTAAACTACTACAGTTAAAAATGAAATTATGTATTATAACTGGTGAATGTAGCCTACAAGAAAAATGGTGCATCGTCATATCCATATATTCCATACGAGTGTCTGGTCATCTTTACTAAAAGAAAAAGGTAATGCAGGTTCGGCTAGGTTAAAAAAAAATAGTTCCCCATAAGAGGATAATAAGTAGCCTAGTTTTAAATGACGAAATGCAGATGAATAGATTCGTAGTTTCACGGCGGACGCGCGCGCTCAGAGCAACCGCTTCAGTACAGTGTGTTTCTGACGGAAACATGCGGGTGACTAAATAACCCCTCCCTGATGAAGCTCACTGCTCTTAGGTGAGTGTGAATCACTCTTACCACCGGCCTGAGAGTTGCATTTCTCTGATATAAAGATGGTGCTGTTATTTAAAACCCTATTTTTAAGAAAACGGGTTAACCGGAAGGAAAAAAGCGTAAGCAAGCCACTAACACATTACGTTTGAGCAACTGCCTACAATAACTTTAGGCCAATGGCAGGTATTCATGCATTAAATACTAATTCAGTCATTCTTATGATAAAGACAGATACCTGATTCAGCATTTGCGATTTCGTTTTTCCCTGCGCTCTTAGGTCTGACCTTGAACATACTATCTAATGTTCCACTAAACCAGATTTTTGTAGATTGAAGACAGGTGTCTGTGTTTGCTTAATTTTTTTTTTCAACCTGGCAAACTAGAGTGGCTCCACACTTGTGGTTTGGATTCAGACTAACAGCAATATTTTTACATGGTGATATTAAAGAAGGCAAGAGAAAAACGTGATGTTGACCACAGCGGTGATATGGCTGTTTAAAGCAATGATTTATTCTCAAAGACTGAACAGCTTATGTATATATTGACTGGATTTTAATATGCATTGAATTGCTTTAAGATACATAGCAACAATATGGTTTAATTAGGCCTAAATCAAAACTCTCTATATGACATGCACGGGAATTGTAATGTGAAGTAAAAGGGAAAGTTGCTGGTTGTCACACAGGCTATTTCTTAATAAATACAAGGTTTTGAAAATGGGTGCTTCCTCTTTCAACACTTAGTTCAACGACGTAGTTCAGTTATTGTTTAATTACAATATATTTTTAGTGCATTCTGTCCTAAACTAAAATTCGAGTATTATTCTCTTTGTCGCTATAGTTGTTGTGTAAACAAGTGACCACAGTTAAACCACATTACATTTAAACAAGATTTGGACTGGTCAGTTTAAAGGGGTCATAGGATGCTACATGCACTTTTACAAGTAGTTTGAACTTAAATGTGTGTTGGTAGTGTGTGTACACAACCACCCTATAATGATAAAAATCCACCCAAGGGTAAAAAAGGTGTTTTTTACACTACCATTGAGAAATTTTAACCAAACTATGTTACAGACTTTTCATTAAGACCCTAAAGAATCATATCAACTTGTGGAAAATGGGTATCCTATGACCCCTTTTACAATGCTTTCAGAACAAGGATATTTGTTCATAAATGACAGGTTGGTGCAAGTTGTCACATGCGTTTTAATTGTAAAAATAATAGTTTTGTGCTGCGTAATCATTGTACTGTTGTTTACAGTACAATGAGGCACAAAAGATGTTGCTGTCAAATGTCTGTTCCATGACCATGATCTTTTTTTCTTGGAACAACAGAACAAAACAAAACACACAAAAAAACGTTTAAAATAATTGGAAACCCCAGAACTAACCCCATACTCCCTGAATGCCATTGAATTTATGGAAAATTGCAAAACTGAGTGTATGATGAAGTGATTGAGGTGGAAACATTTGCCCCAGATAAGAAAAAAAATATGACAAATTTAAAACGAAAATAGCGGTTTCAAGTAAAATTGTTTTTAATCTTCTCTTTCAAGTAAGAGGACACTGGATAGCAAAAAATATTTACAGCCCAAAGACTTGATCGTGCTTGGAACTGATTGATGTCAAAATGGAGAATAGTGTCACATATCAGCCACATCAATAAGCTCAAGTTAGAGAAATTTTGAACCACCCAGGTCTCTCTCATTATGTCATCAGCCAGGGGTTTAGCTTTTGAGAAGCTCATTATTAGACTATTGACACTGGAACCTTAACATGGACAGATGAAGTGTGTAATTTTTTTCTTTGTCATTTCAAAGACGTGGTGTTCAGAAATGTCAACCAGGAGTCGGGTGCTTGGCTACAGCAGGGATTTTCCATTTAGAGCACCATTCTCCCATTCACTTAATAATCTTGTGAATATAGCCATTTGGATTCTGTTTGATTTCAGTCTCCAAGACTAAGTCTAACAGTGACCAAAGTTTTACTTCTTTATTTATTTTGCAAAAACCACATTCTGTTTCCGCTCTTCCCATATCCAACTGTGAAAACTGAATCTGCAAATTGAGGGCAGAATATGGTCTGAATATGGTAATCATATTCTTGGGGGAAGACGTGGCCTAATGGTTAGAGAGTCGGACTCGTAAGGTTGCGAGGTTGCGAGTTCGAGTCTCAGGTCCGGCAGGAATTGTAGGTGGGGGGAGTGAATGTACAGCGCTCTCTTCCACCTTCAATACCACGACTGAGGTGTCCTTGAGCAAGGCACCTAACCCCAAACTGCTCCCCGGGCGCCGCAGCATAAATGGCTGCCCACTGCTCCAGGTGTGTGTTTACAGTGTGTGTGTGTTCACTGCTGTGTGTGTGCACTTAGGATGGGATAAATGCAGAGCACTAATTCCTAGTATGGGTAACCATACCTGGCCACATGTCATGTCACGTCACTTATAAGAAAAGCGCACCAGTCAATCAAGGACTACAAGACACAAATGCATTAATGTTGGAAATCAAGGATGTGCTTAAAGATGTGTTTTAGAAGTATGGCATTGTGCAAGTTTCAAATACATATTCATTTTATTTTTCATTGGAATTTTTATTTTTTTTTTAATTTCAAGGAATAGTTGGTTGTTGGTGATGGTTATTTTATCGTTTAGAAACAGTAAATATTGTCAATTAAAATTTTACCATTTACTCTATATGTTTCATACCTAAACTAAGATTTATTATTTGGGCATCATAAGAAATTGCTGCGGAACTAGTTAAATTACATTTTATACTGAGTTTAAGAAAATTATTGACTGCTGTCTATTAGTCACTAAAACACACACATTACAACACATAATACCCTTTATTTAATAACAATCTGCATTTTTAACATTTGTCATAATAACTAAACACGCAGGCTTAATGTCCAGCACTATCGAAACTTGAATAAAAAAAGTTATATTAAAGAAATAGTACAAAATAAAATTCTGTTATTATTTGACTTCCTTTATTTATTTATTTTTTTGTAACACAAATGGAGATATTTATAGAATGTCCAAGCTGCTCTTTTCCATACAACTAAAGTAAATGTCGACAGAAGTTTCATTTTTGGAGGTTTTTATTATTATTAAGTTCTAGTGTTGTGTTAATAGTGTTGAATATCTGTTATCCAAGGCATAAAAACATTATTATCTTTAACATGGTCAGCTTGCTGAGAATGAATAATCTTTGATAAAGTTTGACTGTGGAATGAGGGTGTAGGCCAAATGGTAAGATAATTTCTTAATAATAAACATGATAAAATTGCAGCCTGAAATGAAAATGTTTTGCAAAACTTTGAGACCGGACTGAGAGCAGGTTTGGTTTAGATCCCCAGAGCACTCAAAGGGCACAAGTCAGGAAAAGACAGTGGCTCCCAATTTTCCGACGAGGTGGAACATTATTCGCTACTTGCCAGACATTACAAATCAACCCAGATGCATATTTTTTCCCTCTGGCACAAGAAATAAAAACAGGTATTTATCCTGGCATGAACATGGACATGCTGATCCAGAAGTGGATCTCTGTGGACTGGAATGTGAACTCTGTTGATCAGCGGGCAGTTATTCTTAACCGTTCTCAAGCAGCAGTTATAAGCTTAATGTAGTAGTCTGCATTGTAATAGGCTCATTTTGTTTTGCTACATTCTGCTTTTGGCTTTTCGCTGATTGCTCATTTGTTTGCTCTAGATTGAGGAATTTTGGACAGCATCCCATTGGAGCTGAAACAAGATGCAAGGAATGAGCTGTGGGTGGAAGTTCTGCAGTCACAGGCTCTACAGGTTTGAAGTTATACGTCTGTTTTGGTTCCTTCATTTCAATAAAGCGCTCAAGCATCTCACTAATATGATTGCTAAAAGGGCAGAGTCTTCCACTGATTTGTCTCTGTGACATTCACAGTAAGGAAAACAAGTAAAGCTATTTCCTTAACCAATTAGCAAAGCGTTTACAGATGAGGGCAAATTGTAAGTGTCTTCTCTACGAGGCAGATGTGGAAGAAACCTAGGTGCCAGATGGCTTCTTGGAATCTTGCATTTATTGTAAGATTGACAAATCCAGCTGTTCAATAATGTCCTAGAAACATTAAAAAACAAAAAGAATACATAATTGCTCTAAATATCTGAAGTACTAGAAATAAATATGCATTTCTGTCAAGTTAATCCTTGAAGTGTTACAAAACTAAAGCCTGAATCACATAAAATAACTATCAATTCTGTGTAAATAGGTCAGGAGGTTTGCTAGAAATAATTCCTGCTGTTAACCTTTATCCTCTGTATGGCCACAGGCTGAATTTTCGGTTTGAAAGCGAGAGACATGCAA